GGAGATCATGGCTGATAATGAATTATAAATTCAAAACGGAAAAAGATAAATTTGATCTATAAAAGATGTGATCGTAGATTATGGCGTTTTTATGTATATAATTCACATTCCTACGCGAAACAGTCCTTAATAAAAGGCTTTCTTTCTTTGTCTTTTTCTTTAAAATAAAATATGAAGTTTGGTAGTCAATTGAGGGCCGCCTTACATTCAGAATGGGCAGAATATTACGTGGACTATGATGGGTTAAAGAAACTCCTCAAACAAGGCGAGAAAAAAGAGGGAGGTTATACTGAAAAAGATGAATCCCAATTCGTTGAAAAATTAGATAAGGAGTTAGAGAAGGTAAATAAATTACGCAAAATGTTTCTCGCTTACGGTATAATATGATATGCATATTCTTTTGATTAGGTATATGCTTTTCAAAATTCGAAATACGCTGAGATAAAGGAACGGGTTCTTCAATGTGAAAATTCCTTAGAAGCCATTGGCAAAGATCCGTCTTTGAATGTTCCGGAAAGATATGCTGATATCGAACGTCAGATTAATCAAATCACTGAGGAAGTAAACGAATTAGCAAAGTATGCAAGATTGAATTATACGGGTATCGTAAAGATCGTAAAGAAACATGACAGGTAATTAAATTATTTACCGGTGTGAGGTTATGCGCATGGGTGTTTAACTTATATTCACCTTTATCATAAGACGAACAAGTTACATCCTCCGCCCGATGTTTAGCGTTCGTTTGAACGCGTGTCCATTCTTTAAAGAAACTTTCGAGCCGGTAATTGTGAACCTGTCTCGACTTTATCACATCGTTCACAGAGGTTTGGGTGGAGACGAAGTTTCAAGTGCACATGATTTTACATCCTCTTGGAAATCTGCGACCATAATTCCGTCGCAAGAAAGATTTTTACGTCAATCAAATAAATACTGGGTTCATTATGATAACATCATGGAAGTGAAAACCACCATTTTGCGTCATCTTCCAGTATTACTTTACAAACCAGGTTCCGACTCATCGGTACACTCAATCTATTTCGATAATGAGTTGTTTGAACTATATCAAGATAAAGTTGATCGTAAACCTGGCGATCAAGTTATCAGGCTAAGATGGTATGGCAGTAAAACATCGACAAATGAAATATTTGTTGAAAGAAAAATCCGGGAGGATGGTGAAGATGAAGTCAAAGATAGATTCTTGATCAAAGAAAAATATATCGATTTGTTCTTGAAAGGAGAATATTCAATGGACAAGGTTATCAAAAAAATGAAAGAAACCCCCGGAAAAACCGAGGAGGACATTCAGAATTTCCAGAAGTTAGTTAAAGATATTCAAGATACCCTCAAAAATAAGAATTTACAACCAGGTAATTTATTCAACGCAATCATCCTCCTTATATCTAATATATAATTCAATTATCAGTAACATCCGATTTTAATAAATAGTCCTTCGCACATATTACAATCGAATGGCATTCCAGATTCCCGGTGATTCGCGTGTTAGGATTTCGCTTGACACGGAGTTCTATATTATTCGCGAAGACAACTTCGATAACGGAAATCGTCGACGAGATAATCAGTGGAGAAGAACGGACATCGATGATGACAACTTTAATAAATTGCCACCTACGGAATGTGTTAAGTTTCCCTATGCCTTGTTGGAAATAAAGTACAATTTAGCCGAAGGAGAACAAGAACCGGATTGGGTTAAAGAACTGGTGGGAAGTCATTTGGTAAGTTTTTTTGATCAAATTTAAATGATCAATAAGTAACATTGCTTGCTTTCGATGTAAACTTTGTAGCTCATTTTTTTCATTAATCTTCAGGTTGAAGAGGCCCCACAATTTTCGAAATATGTTCATGGAGTTGCAACGCTGTTTACCTCCAAAGCTCCTTCTTTACCCTATTGGGTGATTATTATTTTTTTATTCCGACTTCCTTACATCTTGCCTTTCGTTTATTCAGCATAATGATGACTGTTCGTTCATTCTGTTTCCAGCTACCTAACATCGATAAAGACATTCTCAAGCCTCCAAATGTACGTCAGCCTGATGATAATGAAGAACCGGCATCTTCATCATCGATCTTGATTACACCCGGACGTTCAAGGCGTAATATCACGGGAA